TAATTAAAATTATAATGATGATAAAATAATCGATAAAAAATAATAGTAATTTAATACATAATATAATTAATAATACAAACTGTAATAAAATTAATAACATAATGTTTTTAAAATTGACATAAAATAATTAAAAAAAATTTATAACGCATGGTATGACTTGAAATAACACAGCATCGTAGCGGGTTTTTTCTTTTATTTAATTTAATATATATATATATATATATATATATATATATATATATTTAATAATTATTTTCAATTGAATATTAATTATTATTATTAGCAATTTGTAGTGTGTTTTATTAAGGGAAATAATTAATAACTAAAATCACTGAATTTGAGCAGTTTTGTCAAATAAATTTTTTGTGAGCGATTTGACCGTTGGTCTTGTTAATTATAATTATTGATTTTCAATAAAAAAAATTATTTAAATGCATTACTGATTTTTTATACGACGGAATTTAAAAATATTGATGTATCAGTTTTTAAATGAAATTGTTTTTTAGAGTTTGAAAAAAATTACAGAGAAAAATTTATACAATTACTGATACTTGTAATCAATATTATCTTTTATTTGGTCAATTCTTTGGATTAGTTAGCTGGACAAATTTGAAATTTGAAATGAAACGTTAATAATTTATTAAAACATAATTTTGTGGTAAAATTGAATGAATTCGAAAATAACTTTTTAAAATAATAGTCCAGTCTTTATCACAATGCAATAACAAGTACCAATTAAAAATAAAATTTTTCTGTTGAATTTTTTTCATAAAGTCAAAATGGTCTGCATTAAAAAGTAATTATTAATTTAACTGGCAAGCGCACATTTATTGGCACGTATTTTGTTAAAATTTTTTTTTTTTATCAGTTATGGCAGTGAAAAAATTATCAATTAAATTGTTATACATTAATTGAAATTTTTAATGTATTCCCTCGTAAACAAAATAGAACCAGCAGGACATTTCAGAGGAATGGAAACGAGGAAAGACATTAAAGTTCTTTATAAAAAAAAATTATATTCAAATAAGTATTAATAAAAATTATGGCATATATAATAATTTATTACTGGTAGAAAATCTTACAATTCACCCGCTGTCTACGATGGAAGTTGTTCAATAAATTCAGAGTGGCAGTTTTTTAATTAATAAATGCAATTGAATCCATCGAGACAACGCGGCGCAAGTCAATTAAATGCCTCATTAATGAGAATAGACAAAAAAGAAGTAAAGTAAAGATTAAAAATAGGCAACCTCTGAAAAATATCCATCGTAAAAAAATCTCAATTGGTCCGGTAAAGACTAGTCGATTTTAACCTCTTTAGCGCCGGAATTATTATTATTATTTCATAAAATCTGAATCTTATTTATATTTGTTTATTTATAATTATTTTATCCAACAGTACGGTAGTAGTACAAAAAACTTATAATAATAATTAATAATCGTAATTAAATCATAATAATCATAGTCATGATAATAATAAAAGATAATAATAATAATAATAATAATAATGATGATAATTGTTCTTAATAAGACAGTAATTAATTAATAAACTTATAATTAAACATAACGCAGTATCGACAAATATTGTTTGCGTTCTTTATACTTGAGGAGGGAAGAAATTAGTTCCGCAAGCCTCCGAGAGATCATTTGAAAATGCAATTATAATTAGTAATAATAATCAATAAAAAAACAAGTAATGATATAGATAATAATAATAATAATATAATTAATGTAATAGTTAATCATTAATTATTTATTTGTTTTTATTAATTACTCTTGTTAATAACACTGATAAATGCGCAAGTATGGTACGTTGGTTGTCTTTAATTTTTAATTAGGGGGCCGGAATTACAATATATTTAATGGTTACTTTTTTTACTATATTTAAATATTTATTTTTAATTATTACGAGATCACAGTGACGCTTTGACGCGCGGGGATCCTGGGCTCGGCTGAATTTTTTACAAATTTCGAGCTAAAGAAATCCCTCTTTTTTTTTTATCAATGAAATTGGAATAAAAATGTCATTTTAATTTAAATAAATTTGCTTTAATTAATGACAAAATTATTCAAATCTCATAATATCAATTAAATTATTTCGTTATTATATTATATAATTAAAAAAAAATAACTCAGCCGATCCTTGATCCGCATAGTCACAGTTACAGCTTATATCCCACCTTAACCTCCGTTTTTTTTTTATCGACCAATCGCATTTTTTTTCTTATAGTAATTTTTTTTTATTACAATTTTTTCATGATACTGAAAACAACAGACACAAATTTTTATGAAATCATTTAAGATTTTTTTTTTTTTAAATAATTAATTAAAATTATTTTGTCCACTGTTTTCATTGTCATATTTTTCCACTAAATTTCTTAGCACAAATACTTTCATAATAAAAAATAAGCTTTTCATCGATTAATTAATAAAAATATACAAGTATCTAATTACATATTTTGGCTGTAGAAAAATAATAAATTTACTAAACAGTCAAAAAATAAAGAACGGAGCAGGGAAAAAACTGTAATAAATTTAATATTTTAAATATATCATCGTTTTAATAAATATATTATTCGATGAAAAAAAGCATTTTATTTACATGCGTCTCACTCGATAAATTGTCTTATTTTTTATCTTTAAATTATTTAGTTTTTTTGTTATTTCATATACTGTATATTTTATTTTATTTATTTAATCGTTGTACCAGGAAGAGTCACTATTAACCAAATCAATTGTTTATTTTATTTTAAAAAATTAATTAATCGGTCTCTTTTGTATCTAATTAATTAAAAATTTCAAATAAACCAATGAAAAATGAGACGTTTAATAAAATAAAGAGCGTCATGAAATCTCGATTCGGTGACCGTTGAGATTGAATTTTACGAGAAAACCTAGACAACCTCATTTATTAATAAACGTTACCTCTAAATAAATACTATTTTTACTGCAATACTTGATTACTTTTGACTTATCACTTAAAAAAAAATAATAAAATAATATTAGTCGTAGAAAAAAACGAACGAGCCGAAAAATATATACGTATTCAATTCAATATATAATAATAATAATAATAATAATAATAATAATAATAATATAATAATATATATTAATATTTGTTAAGGATTATTGTTTAAAAAAGTAAGAGAGAAAAGGCAACTGAAATAAGTCGCGGTAATGCAGTTTTGGTCAACAATCGTCTGGCTTCGCGATTTAAATACACTTTTAAATCGGACAATCCGCATATTTATTTTTATTTATATTATATACTTTAATATATATAAATATATATTTATATTTATATATAAATATATATAATACATATTTTTTTTAAGGACTAATCGAGGGAGTAAGAAATCGGGACGTGAAAATCACAGTTTAAAAAAAACATAAATTTAAAACATAAAAAAAAAAAATAAAAGTAAATATAGAAACATAAAAATAAAATGAATAATAAAAATTTATAAAATCCAAAGAGAAAAAATAAGTATTATTTTAGCGCTTTGTTTTTTAAATTTATCACTAAAAAAATCAGCATTGAAAGGACAGTGAAAGCGTAGAGATAATTTTTAAAAATCTTAAATAAAGAATAGAATTAAAAAAATAGTTCGGGAAAGGGGGACGCCTCGAAAAAGATTAATTTTAAGAGTCGTCCGCGGGTGGGCAAGGGCGCCACAATATAAGAGCTAAGCTACCGGAGATCATTTGAAAACTGTCCACGGGCCTCGCAGCGAGCCAATTAAGAAGCTGCGATCCTCGAAATTCTATATATCAATTATCTACTTTTAATTAATAATTTAAATTTATCATATAATTTAATTTACTTCGACTTATTACTGATTTATTACTTTAGTTATCGACTTTTTCTATACAACAAAAACTAATTAAAACCTCCTCCACGTAATCCTCCACAAGTCTTGCCACATTTTTTCCGTAAACGTGAGTTTCTTTCCATTTAAAATTTTTTTTGTTTTTTTTTTTTTTTTTTTTTTTTTCGTTTTTTGGAATACACTCGACTTTTATTTATAAGTAGTCTTATTATTTACAAAATTCTACTCGGAACGCGAGTACGAGCACTTTCAAATTTAATTATCATTTTAATTTGAATATACAATTTTTTAAATTACTTGATTTATAGTTTACTTAATTACAAATATTTATCGTTAATTTAAATACCGTTATCCGTAGTTACTACTAATAAAACAAATAGAATAAAATAAAATAAAATAAAACAAAGCTAATCACATTAGCTGGTAATCTGAGTTCACGAGTAGACGTTATCAAAAGTATCATTAACTCTTCGTCGACAAAGAATTAACGAATCACAAAACCCGCTCTATGCGTATTATTAATTTTACTTTTTAATTGTTTTTAATAAAAACAAAAATCACACTACTTTTTTTTATTTAATTATTTATAGACTCCTTCTAGTTTAATCCATAATGAGATCATGGTTTGATTATTGGGTTAAGTCCTCTTTGGATCTCGTCCTCAGCTCCCCCGTTAAGCCCTTCTTATTATTCTTTTTATTACAACTAAACTTTTATTAACCATTCATTAATAATAATAATTATTATTATTATATAATATTCAATATCTTACGACTATGCATTATCCATATCCATTATTTTATAACTTATCATTTATAATTTAATTAATATCCCTTAAACGTAGTAGCTATTATTTATTTGTATTATCGTTAATTAACCTCAACGTACCGATCAATTAAATTAATCAATTTCGTGATACGTGTTACGCGGTGTTTTGAAAAATTATTTTGGTTAGAAATTTAAATACGCGAGTAAAGGTGTATAGTGACGCAAGATCCTCTTGACGTTTCGTCATGGGTATTAATGGTCAACTACCTTGTTGACTCGAGTGTCAGTGATTCAAGCTGGATGATGCTAATGTCCTTAACATCACCGTCATCATCATCATCATCATCATCATCATCGTTAGTATCATCATCGTCATCGCGATTTCATAAAGTTTTGCAAACTCTATCGCAGACGGGAGACCAATCTCCAACCCAGGTACAGAGCCACTGTTGTCCAGAGTGTCTCTCGCAGAGGCGCCGGGATTAACATTGACAAAAAGCTGTCCGATGACGGTGTAGTTGTTGTCACACTCGGGAATCCAGCGCCGAAAAATGGCAATCTCGATTTTTCAATCTCTGCATCCTGGAACAGATAATGATTTGTTTTCTTTTAATACTCGGGCAATAAAAATTAAATTGTAGATAAAAAAAAAGTTCACTTGAACCAAGAAAATTTTTTGAAGAATGCCTAAGTTGTTTTTAAGCTAGAGAAAATTTTTTTGAGATGGAAAATTTTGTTTGGTTTAATAAAATTTTACTTTAGCTAAAAAAATTTTTATTCTTGAATAGAAAAAATTCTTGAATCAAGTAATTTTTTTTTTTAATGCCAAAAACGCTAGTTCATTTCAGCCCAAGCAATAAAAAAAAACTTTAGCCATGACTTTTCGGTCAATTAATTGCATTCTATTCTTTATTGTCTTAGTTATTATTTTTTCTTCTTCCAACTTTCTCCACCTTATAATACTCTTATGTTCTATCTGCAAAATAATAATCACACTCAACTATTATATTTATACTATACAGTTATATTATAACTACCACAGTTATAGTTATAACAGGCGTCGTAGTAACTTCCGATTCCCGTTTTCATCTTAATTCACGCTCGGTGTAATCGCGAGAAAGTCCAATCTTCCTTGCCCACTTTTATGGGTATCGCGAGTAATATCTAGATGGGAAATATATATATTTATACCCTGTAGCAGATACGGAGTCTCTATACCAGCTATAAATATATTTTTCCTTTTATTTTCGTCCCCTTTTTCTCTCCCCCAAACAAAACCCTCCAATTTTTACTTCTCTTACAAAAAATAATTTCTATTATAGTGGATATTTACTGTCGCATTGTAATTAAAGTTCACGTTCGATTTATAATTAATAACCATAAAACATACAGACAATAATATTAAAAGTATCCATATTATTAATTAAATAAAACAAATGCATGGTAGTGGGCACGCGCTCAAGCCCATCGATATGCCCGGTTAACTTTCACGTCAGGGGATGTAGTTATTTAGCTTGTTACATGCTCACTTACACCGCAATGCGTGTAGAAAGTATTGTTACGCTTTTTTATTTATCTTTCAACACTTGTATTACATAATGCCTTAATTAATCATTGAAGCTCGTAAATTCTGAGCGAAAAATAATCAATAGCATGAACATTTGCTTCAAAACTCTACATTTATTTTTATTTTAATTATATCATGTATTATCATTTAGTGCTAGGAATCTAAAATAGATGAATAATATGACATTGACTCTTGGAGAGATAATGACGGAGTTGTAAATGCGTATTAGTTGACGCAAACAAAGGAAATTAATCATGCGCGGTTGGTAATAATAATAAAGTTAAGTTACTTATATTTGTTAAACTGTAAAAAATCGCGGAATGAAATGATTTTTAACTGTTTTCTTCCAGAGTTAAATTCATATTGATAAAGATTATATTTAAATTTTAGCTGAAAAAAACCATAAAAAAAAAAAATTTCTTGAATAAAATCAAAATTTCTTGAGCCAAGATAATTTCTTCTTGCTCCAAAATAACTTTTGTCTTCCTTAAAATTTTCTTGGTACAAGAAGTTTTTTTTTTTCTGTGTAGATTTATTTGGTACGTGGTGTTTGAATTTTACAAGTTTATCACTTTTAATTAAGAATTTAATAAAGAGTAAATAAATAAGTAAGAGCAAAAATGAATTATACGTAAAGTTGAGGCAATAAATGTGAATTTAGTTATCACGGAATCCCGTGGGTGTAATAAATATCGACACTATGACCCGTCGATAGAGTGTATTTATAGAGCGAACACTGTGACTCTAGTCGGGCTTTTATTTTTCTTCATCCCTCCGGATCCCTTGCTATACACAGTTTGTCTCATATATTCTCACCCTCGTACTTGCAATCCCAAATATACGAGTGTTGATCAAATATGTATCCGAGGGTATAAATATAAATATTATTTAGTAAGACCGCAAATGCTTTTCTTTCACTTAATGCCAGTACAAGTATTTATTAAGTATTAAGAGCGACGGAAAAAAGTTTTAATGGATTTTCACTTTATTTTTGATCGACAATAAAATCTTATCGATTAAAAAAAATTATAATTATATTTTGATACATTTAAACTAAAATTTTTTAATTAATTTATTCTTTGAAAATTTTTAAGCTGATTAATAAATTTTAAAAAATTATTTACAAGCAAAAAATTATCGGATAAACATTTGAGTGTTATTAAAAAAAGGTAGCGATGAAAAATAAGTTCTTAAACTAAACGGGTATCATCTTTGATCTCTCCGACACTTATTTAATCCTTAATATCTGAGTACACTGGGAATTAAGCTGTGGTAATTGAGAAAATAAAGGGAAGAAACAAGTGAACCGTGTAATTGAAAAAAATTGTTAACTTTAATACCGAGAATCTATTTATTTTCTTTCTTCTATATTCCCATAAAAAAACAAGACAATAATTATATATCCATTGTTTTAATAGTATTATATTATATTTAAGACGAGGTAAATTCAAATGCAGTAATTTGTCGCTGATAAAATTATAAGGGAATACTTGCCAGACACCCAGTAATTAATTTCAGACGAAAGTTTTCGAGCTTAAACTTTTAAATGTGTAAATATGTGTATGTATATTTTATAAGTGTAGTAGAGTGTAATGTACCCGCAAAACCGTGGCATTTTGGGGCGAATTGAAATGTAAACGAGAAACAACTAATATTTGGATGTGTATGTGTGTGTAATGTAATAATACCCTCCCGTGTGTACACGAGGATACCAAGTGGCGAGTTTGCAGAGTGAAAAGTTGGAAAGTTAGTTATATTATACAGCGTGACGTTTTCCGCCCATTCGTACTCTGGGGAAATACTTTGAGGGTATGTATATGAAACTATGAGACTACTCGGATCGTTTTACCCGTCGCGGTTCGTACTTGACGCAAATTTTACAATGACAGCTCGTCAAGTCTACACGTATCAACGTCGTTACTGCTTGCTGTTAAATTTTTTAATCCTTTAGAAAGTTCGCGTGCATTTTTATTTACTTTTTTGTTGAATTTAATTATTCGTAAAAGATAAAATTATTTTCTTTGTTTTACTCAGGGGTTTTTATTGAATAATTTATTTTTAATTAATTTTTTCATTGCTGAATTAAATTAGTTTTGTATTTTTTAATGAAATTGGATTATTTATCAAAAAAAAAAAAAAAATTTATTTATTTATTTAATAATTAATTTTATACCTGGTCTTATAATTTTTGAAAATTTTATTTAATCACATGGAATAAAAAAAAAATTAATCGAGTTGAACTTTATCCGACGGCAGGAAAAAATTTGGGTCTTTTAGTGAAAAATAAAGTATTTAAATAATTTTTCAGCATCAAAAAATTATTAATTGTCTATTTATTGATTAAATTATTTAATTTTGAGGCTAAACTTTTTTTTATAAAGTTATTTTAATTATTTCTAGCAAAAAAAATTTTCTGACAGAAAAAGAATGTCTAATCTCTAATAAATTCTCTAGAGCCTATGATTAATTTTTTTTTTAAAATAATCATAAAAAAATCTTACCTTATTCTTAGAAGCGTGAAAATCGTCGGCAATATTTCTAAGATTGGCGCCAACACTCGCCCACTCGCGCTCATTGCACGAGTGCCCGAGATGTCTGCAGCAGGCGGTGGAAATGCTGTCAGACCTGCTGGTGGCGCCCTTTTCGAGGACAGAGCTCTCAGACGTGAGCCTTCGTCGCCGCGGCCGCGGCCTCGGGCTGGGCACTGGCGCGCTGCACTCGGGGAACTGGAAGGCCGCGTCCCGCGTCGGGCTGCTCGGCGCCGAGACGGTCACTTGGGGCTCAGGCGACGGCAGCTGCTGGACCGCCGACAGCACCAGGTCCGGGAGCGGTAGACGCGACAGGTCCGAGTCTATCAGCACGATCGGGTGGTCACGACTCGCTCCCGTCTCTCCTCCTCGCCTTGGCAGACGGTCTAAAAAAATAATAATCGAATAATTAACTCTAAGTTTTTATTTTAATGATGAGAAATTCTTACGGCAGCACTCGAATTTTTTTTTTTTTACCAAAACTTCAAGCTGAGTCATGGGAAAAAATATGATATGATATTTATTGTTACTATATAAATAAATATTGATGCATTAATTGTAAAAAATTTGACTAAGAGTCACTCTGAGAAGGTATTTATTTATAATATAATAAATAATGAATAATTTTAAAAAATTGCATCAGTATTTTTTTTTACTTTTGATGTTAGGGCTTATCAATAAAAGTTAGAAAAAGTAATGATATATCAAAATTTTGTTCAATGTTTCAAAGTCAAACTTTTAGAAAAATGTAATTAATATTTACAAACTTGAACTTCATAAAGTATTTGTTAAAACGTTGGCTTATGAAACTTGTTTCAGCTAACTAAAAATTTATTTTTATCTAAAAACTCCGTATTTAAATATTTTTCAAATTAAAATCAATATTCACTCCCAATTTTTTACTGTGTAGATATAAAAAAAAATTGTTTTATGAAGTCATAAACTCGATGCATGTGTTATACTGCAAATATCTCAAGTTTATCGAGTCTAGACTCGAAGACGAGCCCCAAGGCACAGAAAATTCTCCCGTGGTTTCTCTCCTACTTAAAATCACTAATTTAACTTGAATTATTGATTCGAAAAATCAATTTTCATCTACTTGTGGATGAATTATAATTTAATATTCATGTTTATTCGCAAATAATTATGATAATTATCAAAGTTTGAAGCATAATTTATGCATGGAATAAAGAGAAGTTGAACAATTTCAATTTCTGGTGTCAATTTTAATAATTAGGCGCTCCGTTTCAAGCAAAATTTTTTAAAATACAATTTTTTATTGTAAAAAACAACCATTCAAGAATTTTGATTCGTTCAATTGAATTTTTTTTTCAGTCTAAAAATTATTTCTAGCCTCACTTTTAAAACGGAATATCAAAAAGTCAAAGTTCAAATTATCTGTACTTGTGTCTCTAATCAAATTAAAAATTTAGCATGGTAAATTTTTCATGTCACATACAGAATATATGAAATATTTCTTCTCATCATAAAAATCGTTTGATTAATATAATTAAAAAAAAAATCGTATTTTTAAGCCAAGTGATTTACCGATGGCATTTTGCATACATTATCAATTATTATTTATATATTGAGTGTATATAACAAAGTGTTATGCCCTCGGGTAGTGTATATTGTTCGCGACTTATGTGTGCAGTAGCATCCTTGACATTTACAACGAGTTTACTATCTTTCACTTGTGCAACACATTAACATCTATTGCAAAAGTATTACACTACACGCATTTTATTATTTTTTGCCGTCGAAAAATTACAAATAAAATAAAATTTTCCGACCAACCAAGTCCAAGCCCAGCAATTATAAATTTACCGTGCAATAAATACATTAGATATCATTTATTGTCCTACTATCTATTACTTGCGAATTAAAAAAACAACTAGACACGTGGACCCGCATGGCATTTTACGTCGAATGAACTAGTACAACACACCCTTGAATTAACAATAATATAAATAATAGTAATAATAATAATAATAATAATAATAATAATGACAGTTGATACAATAAAAATGACTCATAAATTTATCCTTCACACTTGCATATGTCTCTTTATTGCAACTTAACCGATACAAGTATTATATCAGTAGAGTAATACTCGATTTTAATTCTCAACAATGAGAGTGAGACTAAGCGCTAATCCATCTTTTGCTTCATATTTATGTTTTATATTATCATTATTATTGTAATTTATATTCTTATCCAATCTAACGGATTTTTAAACAAAATTATTTATTGTAAATTATAGCAGAGCGTTATCTGAGTTGAAACTTGTCGATAGTTTTTTTGTATTTAGCTGCAATCCGGGGGCATTTACGCGGCTAATGTTTCAATGTGTGCAAATGCATGCTATGTGCTTAACTATGTACTAAATAAAAGTATATAAGTCGCTTTCAGCACAAAGAACCTCACTCAAGGCTATTATGCCGCGTGTTAACTTATAGACGTTGATGTTGATGTTGATGTAGATATAGATATAGATGTAATGTGTAAAGAGTATAGAGTAAAGAGGACAACTGTGCACGCGTTACTCCCTCATATCATCATATCAGGTCCTTAAATCCCTCTCGTACTTGCCTTGTATTTTCAATACACAATGTGGTTGGCAGTTTTAGCAATATAATACCACTTTGAGTAGATATTATTGTATTATCGACATATTTAACTTTTAACACACGTGCGACGGCGTTTGTAAAACGTCGTTTTTGTACTTTACATTGTATTGTACTTTTAATATATTTAAGAACTCCTTTTATTTTTTAATATCGAGTCAATTGATGCAGTCAAAGCTTATGTAATTAATTGTTTTCATTTTTTTTTTATTGAACACTCGTTATCATAATTAATTTTATGACAAATTATGAAGATTTTCAAGTTTATTACATTATTTCTAATTATTTATAAATCATTATTTTGTATTGTATTTTTCATTTTTTTTTTTTAATTGATTTTTAAAACAAGTATTCAGAAATAATTCAGAATAAATTTTAATTATAATTTTTATCCAATAAACTGTGAACATTATTTGTTATTAAAAAATTCACATTTGAATAAATTATTTCAAAAAAATTTGTTAAAATAAAAATTTTCAAGTTCAAAAACATCTTCGAAGTAAATTTAAGTTAAAAATTTTTAATAAAAAATTAAAGAAAATTTCAAATCTCAAAAATAAATTTTTATAAATCATTATTTTGTATTGTATTTTACATTTTTTTTGTTACTTTTAATTGATTTTTAAAACAAATATTCAAAAATAATTCAGAATAAATTTTAATCATAATTTTTATCCGTTAAACTGTGAACATTATTTATTATTAAACAATTCATATTTAAATGAATTATTTCAAAAAAATTTGTTAAAATAAAAATTTCAAAGCTCAAAAAAATCTTCGAATTAAAATTAAGTCAAAAAATTAAAGAAAATTTCAAATCTCAAAAATGAATGAATATTATATATTCAAGAAAATAGATAAAAAATCACAAATTGTGACTAGCGGGTATTACCCGTCGGATGACGAGGTTGTATATTTAACCAAGTATTATCTAAATATAAAATAACTAAACATACGTTTAACATATAGATATTTCAGTCATTGATTAATTGGAGTGAATATAATTGATTAGAGAATATAAGTAAATCGATATGGATATGGATACGAAGTATCATGTAAGCGTGAAATCGGTAGAGGCGTGACCGCAAACTTCTCTATAAAGTTGTAGAGATACAAATGTTAGGTCCGCGAAACTGCACCAGCCTCATCAGCCTCTACTCGGTGCGGTGTATGTACATATGTACTGTACATAGAGTACAGACTACACACCCGGTGTAACCTCACGAGCGCGTGCACAGCTGTACTCGTTCTATAAATATTCAAACTCTCGATCTGATGCAACAGCACGCGCACCCTCCGTACTCAACTCTGCTCCAGCAATTCTCTCTTTACTTTTTACTCTTTTACTCACTTGATATTCCTACTCTCTTCTGGACTGTTTTGTTTTATAGTCAGCGAACCATGGTTATTGACCCGTCACTTGTATTTTTGTTTTATTTTTTTTTTTACATTATTAATTATTAATTATTACTTTAATTTTTAATTTATCGCGGTATATTGTGTTGTAAAAAATTTTAATTTAAATAAAAAATAAAATAACTTTGAAAAAATAATAATTTTATTTCAGTCCGTTGATAAATTGAACAAGTCGATTCCAGTCGAGTGCTGAGATAGATAAAGTTTTTTTTTAAATGCTATCAAGTCTGTCTATGACACTCGATATTTAATTTGTCAAGCGAATAAATTATAAATACGACGTACATATAAATATAAATGATTTTTAGTTTTAAAATATTGTTTGATAAATATCACTGTCACTTGAACTTCACGAATGCAACAACATGACACTTATTAATATTTCAATAGATAATATGTAATATATAATATTAATTTATATGATTGTAATATAATAAGAATAAGTATATGAGTACAAGTAAAAATAACAGATTTAAATATATATTAACAAATGTTACGAATTAAACTCAAGACATTTAAGTAATTTAATAAAACTTAACGCAAGACAAATTTAAGTTTAAATTGTCAAATGACATCACTCACAGCCACTTTAACGACATAAGACATAAGGCATATTTAATACTCATAGTCCGCTGAATATATTCTAAATTGTGAGATACTTTTTTAAGGTACGATAAATACCTATGATTCACTATTTTATTTTTCTTTATTTTATTTATCTGTTACGCTTAAATACAAAACAAAATTTATTTTATTTTTCTATTACAATTGTTTCATTTTTATACAACTCTGTCAATTTTCAATCACCGAATTCGTAACTTTAACTTCTGACAGTTGTAAGCTTTAATTTTTTTCTCGATTTTCGAGTACAGATTTTAAATTCAAACTATTGGCGCAATCTTTTTGACAATTTAAAATTTTTTTTTCAAACTTATAATTTAATCATAAATTAATTAATTTCAATCCTGTCAACTTCTAATTAATTTGAACTCACAAATTTTCATCATCCTATGTTACAATTTTTTGATATCTATAAATTTTTGATTTGCTCTAAAATTTTTTAATTTTAATTCCAAGTACAAACATTCAAACTTTGACTTATCTATAATTTCTCAACTTTGACATATTCAATGAACTTCAATTTTTTTGCCAATTATCAACTCTAACTTAAAGATACAAATTTTTTCATTTCAATTTCAATTTATGACACTGAAGTTAGCAGACGTCTAAAAATTTTTGATTTTTTTTTTTTTTAATTAAATTACAACTAAAAAAATATTTCTAAAAAATTGCACTTGTGGTTTTTCAAGTTTTTTACATGTGACAATTTTTATTTTAATTGTTTAATTGAAATTTTTTAAATAAAAAATTTCTAAAAATTTTGAAATGTCGGCTAACTTTATTTTCATTTCAATTTTAAGACTTTTAACTCCAACTTTTTCTGTCAATTTTCAACATTGAAATTCAACTCAAAGTTGAAATTTTTTCATTTGGATCTCAATTTTAAAACTTTGAACTCCAATTTTATCCTATTTTATCCCTTCATCTTATCTCTGCCTGTCACCCAAAGAGTGGACCTTCCAAAAAAACCCCTTAGATAGCATAACATAAAAGTACTCACGATTGCGAGAGGGATGCTGAGCACTCCTACTCCTGAGGACCTGTTGCAGTGCCGCGTAGAGGTCCAGCATCAGCTGCTCTAGCTGTTGGCTCTGCGCATCGGCTTCGTCTTCAGACGGCAAGTTAAACGGAATCGCCATGCTCGACAACTATTTATCAGATACGGTGTAGTTAATTGCACTTAAATTCCAACAAAAACTCAACCATTCAATGTCTCTCACTGTCACCCAACAATTATTACAATAATCGTCCCATAAACACTTGATTTATTTCAAATTACCATAAACTCAAATCCTAGTCCTTACAAATAATCAACAAACCCCTCGATCGAGTCTATGTCTCACTGGAATGTCAATATCAATAATAATCTTCATTATTCCCTCCAGAAATGTTAGTGTCAGTCAGACAAATATACTTTAAGATTTAGATTTTATTTATAAACAGCGACGTCTTCTGAAACGTCGATACGGAGGGTCTTCGAATGGATCTATTTCCATAAGTCTCTCAAGTATCGCGATTTCCGCGATTTAGCTCCAAAAAAAAAAAAAAAAAAAAAAAAGTAAATTTATTTTCCCCAAAAGTCTTTTGGTCTTTACAATTTTATCTGAGTCTAAGCTTTGAATTTTATCTACAGAAATGTCACTTGAAAATGCAATTTATCGTAGCACAATCAATCACTTAGGAGTCTTGAGATAAAATAAACTCACGAATGATCACAGTTGTCCAACAGTAATTAAAATCAATGCAATTAACATTAATATAATTTTTTATAAATGCAAATCACTATGCAGCGATGTAAGATAAAAAAAAAACAAAAATTTTTCTAATTGACAATTTACAATGATAGTTTACTACTGAGTGAAATAAACAGCACGAGAACTCGACTGAGCTAACGAATAAACGCGTCTACTCTCCTCGAGGTCTGATGTGGCAATGATCGTATACGTATCGTATAGTAAGCAAACGTTGCTCCCAAACCGAAACTCCCGACTAACTCTATCCCCACCAGCTGGTAACTACTGTAGCGGCCCCCCCACCCCGCGGATTTTCACGCTCGCTCCCCTCCGAGCCGCTACCGTGTAGTTGTATCGCGCGTAGCGAAGGTTGAAGGGGGTAATTCTGCGCGCGCACCGCGTGGACCGCGAGCTAAGAGTTGCGAGTCGCGGCTGCCACGCATAGCACGGACTGTAATGTAACGGAGCAAGGATATAATAGGAGTCAGGCAATGCAAGGGTAAGGGGTTTTATTTCTATCGGACCACGGACACCAACGGTAAGGGTGAGGGGATCGTGAAAGGGCAGAAGGGAGGGGGAGCACCGCTGGGGACATGAGTTTACTAGTATGTGTTATTTATATTATAGGTGGTGTGTATGGTCATAGTAATAGGGATCCGTGTGGAGAGGGAAGTTAAGTTGAAACTCTTTTTTTAAATATTGTAAAATAAAATAAAATAAACATGTATGTTGTAGAAGTATTGAGTGTAAGAGTACCGAGCTCGGTGTCTAGAACGGGGGGAGGCTTGAGGAATTACTACAGACTACGGGGATAAAGACGAGGACCACGATCCGCGATATAGGGACGTAATTCGCGGTTTTTTTTAAATCAGAGATTTTTTTTTGTAATTGTATGGTTGGTGTGTGCATGTGTGTGAATATGTGAGTGTGAGGTTGAGGGACAACGGCTTATATGCATTGGCTCTTGCCACTTGCCATCACCAACGTGCTCAAGCGTAACTGCGTAGTTTGTACACCCGCGGTCTAGTCTGTATCTTTCTTTTACTCGCATGAGTTTGTATCAAGTATTATGCTGTAAATTTATGCATTCTACGTCTAAGCTTCGTATTTTAAACTAGCATTAGCTTATCTGTACTGATAATGAAGCGGGAATTGATGGGCTGGATTAAAATGAAGTTGAAGATAAGAGAATTTTTTTTATAAATTGATGCTAATTATTAATGACGAGGAGTGTATAATTGAAGAATATTTATAGTAATTAGATTGAAGATATATGTTGGACGGTAGATATACTAATAAATAAATTTACGATTCAAGAGATAAAAATTTGAACCTAGTACATCATTTTGAAAAGCTTGATCATGATTAATTAAATAAAATTTACTTAAATTGAAAAAAGAAAATTTTTTTTCTTAATCAGGTTAATTTTTTTAGTGTAATTGAAATCTTACGATTGAAAGTTATAAATTTTTTAAATACTCGGAAAAATTATAAACAAAACGTTTCATCATTTTAATTTATTTTAATAAATAACAAAAAAAAAAAAGACAGACATGTCGATTCGAGTTTTAAGAATTATATTTACCATTACGCATAAAAAATTTCAAAGTTTACTACCTACTCTATAATTATTACCGCGTGAATTACAGTTAAGTATTGATATATAAATCGTAAGTTGTATAAAAGCCCGCGCAGCAATATTTACAGCGTATTCACTGCAATATTTATAGTGTTCGTTATAACTTGTAACTTATAACTATAACCTTTGCAGCTTCCTCATTACAATGACGAACTTAATTATTCCCAATTTAATTTTCACGTGAATTTTATAAACTAAAAATAAATAATTTTTTAAAAATTTACCATCAATCAATATAATTATCTAAAATAAAATAAATTATTCTCGACTTTCAAACTATTTGTAATAAAACAACACGATTATTATCAGTATTTATTAAAACATAAATAACAAGCCCGAATAAAATTTACACCGGTAAAATTAAACGATGTGCTGGTGGTGAACTTAATTTAATATTTAATGCATTTACGCGTTTAAGCCATTCTGATATCATAAATCTCTGGTATAATTTAAAATCTTGGGAATGTTATATTTATTATTATTATAATTATTAGTACATTGATGTAGATAGTACATAGCTCAGGCAGTAGCGAAGTAGCGTAGTTACAAGTCGTAAGTACTGTACAGAGAAAGGTGAAGTGGATCGGTGAGATCGGAATTATTATTTTATTCGTTTGATTATTATTATGTATATATAAGTATGATTATAATATCTATATGTGCGAGGTTACCTCTACTCGTAATTGACGATAAAGATAAAATAAAATTTTCTACTATCAAGTAGCCAAGTACGATGAGCATGAGATTCTCCCAGGTGGTGTTTAGTTGTTGCAATTCTCTAAAAGTTAATCGACTAATGTCCGTTTTTTCCTCATCACTTTCTTCGGCTTTTGTTTCCGTTAACTAACGCAGTAGTAGCGTACTTGATATTAATCCATTTCGATGAATGCGAATAATGTTTTATTATTGTTATTAAATTTTATTCGATAGAGGCTCGTTCACTTTCGATTGCATTGTTACTAAAAGAAAAGAGAAATTTTATTAGATTATTTTTAAAAGCGAATTAATTGCGCTTCCGTAGCCCTCTGAAGCCGATAATCGAGAACGAAGTATAATGTAAGGTCCATACCTCCGTTTATTAATTTATTTTTTAGTGTGTAATTAAAAAAAATTTAATTAAATTGATTTTTTAGGATTCATTTCATGTGAACATTATTATTATTGCTGTTGTTATTTTTCTTTTTATTATTATTTATTATTTGTTGTTGTTGTAATGTAAAGTAATGGCCAGTGTGTATTATAAAGAATAATAGGAGATCCACGATTGCGGAATTGAATTGTGCATTCATGCAGCAGCTAATGCTCGCATAGTACCTATTTATTGAAATAAGAAGATATTGCTGAGATAGTATAGTGCGCATGCAGTAACATAAGTAAAACGTCTGGTATCTTAACTACAGTGGCACGTTTAGTTCTACTCTCTTCTTCGCGGATAGATATTCACGGCATTATCTTTACATGCAGACAACTAGCTACTACACTCTGTTGTACTCTGCATTGGGACATTTCGTGTTCAAAGGCATTTTGAGTGAAGAAATAAAAATATTTTTTTGAATAGTAATTTATTGGGAAAAAAATAATGTTTCAAATTTTTTAATTTTTAAAATCAAAGAAAACAATTCGTTTTTTAGTTTGCAATAATTTTTAAATTAATTATTAAATTTTTTTTTTGTTGAAATTCAATTTCTTAATTAAACTCAATAGATATTCACTCGATTTAAGATAAAAAAAATCGAACTTGAAAAATTATTTTGCAGAACTTTAAAATGATTTTCTTGATATAAGACTCTTTATCTTAAATCAAATTAAATTATTTAAATTAATATAAGATATTATTAAGTTATAAAACGGAAATTATTAATATACAGGATTAGTATATACTGATTACTAAATCATGATGAATTAGAATTGAATATAATCAATCAAGACTCGGCAAATCCGCATATGCAGTGGTGACGTGCCGATAGGAGCTTGACACAGGATATATAAGGCTTATATATATACATATATACGTATATATTCATGTATGGAGATAGTAAAGGGCAGGTGGTTTCATATACACATGAGAGGATGACATTACAGACCAATGACATTACCAAACTAGTACAGTAGAGACCCCATATATCTATATATCTGCAGCAACTGATGATCGAAATCGTAGCTGATGCAAGTAGGATTGTTGGATTGAGGCTAACATCAATTTGATTGCCAGTTCCTCATTACTCTCATCAGCCCAAGTGTCATATTGTTTCGCCTCATCCTCCAAAAATATTCACAATTTTTTGTCATCAAATTTTATGGTATCAAGAATAAGAATAATAACATAATTATTATTTTTAATATTTTTATTGATAATTTTAATGATAAAAATTATCAATTAAAAATAATGTCAAATAAAGGATTGAGCAGGCTTTAATATTAAATTATTATTATTATCGTCGTGATTATTTAGTGAGTCAATAATATGAAAAGCGAGACACTGATAAATACAAAGAACATAATAATACGAGTTTAAATATCCAGTAGCATATATAAAGTTTAATAAAATAAAAAAATAGTTTATAAACATTGTCACAAGAATATATAATATATAGTGCGAAGGCTTACTCAATTATCGGGAAATAATTTATCAGTAACGATGCGTCTTATCTTTTTACGACGTGTGTACGTCCGACTGATGACTGTGTACTGGATTAATATGTATATACAATATGTACAGTAAATAAATACATACTAGAGTGCACGTGCACACAGATAATGACAAAAA